GGGAGGTTTTGGTGATGGGACACAATAACTAACTACATTATATATTGACAAAATAAAAAAAATAAAATAAAATAAAAGAGGTATGAGTATTTACCAAACTGTATTCTAGAATTATAGCCTTGAAAATTTTATTCTATAATTATCATTTGCTTAAACGCACTCTAACAAAAAGGACAATGTTTTATTTCTATTTTATTCTACTTAAGTACCTCCAGTTGACAAAAAATGGGTGGAAAATGAAAACTTGGGAGAGGGGAATAGATCGGGGGAGAAGTATTGAGGGAAATATGAGGTACAAAACAAGAAAAAGGAGAGGGAAGGCAGAGAAGCAGGAGATCAGATCTGTAACTGATTTGGTTTTACAATGTAGACAAGATAAAGGAGGTTTCTTTCAAGTTTTGTTTTCTTATCACTTCCATCTTTTCTATCAGACCCATCAACAACAGGAAACCGGGAAACCTCTCAGATACTGTGGAATTTCTTCTCCTGGGACTGTCAGAGGAGCCAGAGCTTCAGCCCCTCTTCTTTGTACCTGGTCTCGGTCCCCGGGAACCTGCTCATCATCCTGGCCATCATCTCAGACTCCCACCTCCACGCCCCCATGTACTTCTTCCTCTCCGACCTGTCCTTCACTGACATCTGTTTCAGCTCCACCACGGTCCNTAACAAAAAGGACAATGTTTTATTTCTATTTTATTCTACTTAAGTACCTCCAGTTGACAAAGAATGGGTGGAAAATAAAAACTTGGGAGAGGGGAATAGATCGGGGGAGAAGTATTGAGGGAAATATGAGGTACAGAACAAGAAAAAGGAGAGGGAAGGCATAGAAGCAGGAGATCAGATCTGTAACTGATTTGGTTTTACAATGTAGACAAGATAAAGGAGGTTTCTTTCAAGTTTTGTTTTCTTATCACTTCCATCTTTTCTATCAGACCCATCAACAACAGGAAACCAGGAAACCTCTCAGATACTGTGGAATTTCTTCTCCTGGGACTGTCAGAGGAGCCAGAGCTTCAGCCCCTCTTCTTTGTACCTGGTCACGGTCCCCGGGAACCTGCTCATCATCCTGGCCATCATCTCAGACTCCCACCTCCACGCCCCCATGTACTTCTTCCTCTCCGACCTGTCCTTCACTGACATCTGTTTCAGCTCCACCACGGTCCCAAAGATGCCCGTGTACATCCAGGCACAGAATAAATCCATCAGTTGCACAGGCTGTCTCACCCAATCGGTTTTGTCTTGTTTTTTTGCTGGACTGGAAAATGGAATTCTGGCAATGATGGCTATGATCGATTTGTGGCCATCTGTCACCTGCTGAGGTACAATGTCATCATGAAACCCAAACTTTGCGGGCTGCTGGTTCTGCTGTCCTTCTTCATTAGCGTTGTGGATTCCCTGATGCACAGTCTGATGGTGCTGCGACTGTCCTTCTGCACAGACCTGGAAATCCCCCACTTTTTCTGTGAACTCACTCATGTTCTCAAGCTCACCTGTTCTGATACCCTCATCAATAATGTCCTGGTGTATTTAGTGACCAGTGTGTTGGGTGTCATTCCTCTCTCTGCAATCATTTTCTCTTACACCCGAATTGTCTCCTCTGTCTTGAAAAGTCCATCAGCTAGTGGAAAGTATAAAGCGTTTTCCATCTGTATGTCACACATAATTGTTGTTTCCTTGTTCTACAGGACAGATTTTGGGGTGTACCTTAGTTCTGCAGCTACTCACTCCTCCAGAAAGAGTGCAATAGCCTCAGT